TGTAACAAAGCGAACAGCTGGTCAGGAACGTGGGGAGGGGACAAGAGGGGTTAAAGTCAGGAACGTGTGGAGGGGACAAGAAGGGTTAAAGTCAGGAACGTGGGGAGGGGACAAGAGGGGTTAAAGTCAGGAACGTGTGGAGGGGACAAGAAGGGTTAAAGTCAGGAACGTGGGGAGGGGACAAGAGGGGTTAAAGTCAGGAACGTGTGGAGGGGACAAGAGGGGTTAAATCAGGAACGTGTGGAGGGGACAAGAGGGGTTAAAGTCAGGAACGTGTGGAGGGGACAAGAGGGGTTAAATCAGGAACGTGTGGAGGGGACAAGAGGGGTTAAAGTCAGGAACGTGTGGAGGGGACAAGAGGGGTTAACGTCAGGAACGTGGGGAGGGGACAAGAGGGGTTAAAGTCAGGAACGTGTGGAGGGGACAAGAGGGGTTAAAGTCAGGAACGTGGGGAGGGGACAAGAGGGGTTAACGTCAGGAACGTGGGGAGGGGACAAGAGGGGTTAAAGTCAGGAACGTGGGGAGGGGACAAGAGGGGTTAAACTCAGGAACGTGGGGAAGGGACAAGAGGGGTTAAAGTCAGGAACGTGGGGAGGTGACAAGAGGGGTTAAAGTCAGGAACGTGGGGAGGGGACAAGAGGGGTTAAAGTCAGGAACGTGGGGAGGGGACAAGAGGGGTTAAAGTCAGGAACGTGGGGAGGTGACAAGAGGGGTTAAATCAGGAACGTGTGGAGGGGACAAGAGGGGTTAAAGTCAGGAAGGTGGGGAGGGGACAAGAGGGGTTAAATCAGGAACGTGTGGAGGGGACAAGAGGGGTTAACGTCAGGAACGTGTGGAGGGGACAAGAGGGGTTAAAGTCAGGAACGTGTGGAGGGGACAAGAGGGGTTTAAGGGGCGGGGGAGTACATGATGAAGAGTTAGAGGCAAATTGGAGAGACCGCAAAGTGAGATTAGAGTGTGAAGTGAGATTTAGAGTGTGACGTGAGGTTAGAATGTGAAGTGAAGATAGCGTGTGACGTGAGGTTAGAGTGTGAAGTGAAGATCGCGTGTGACGTGAGGTTAGAGTGTACTAATTCTTACACTATACCTACCTCTAGGTATACCAAATCCTACACTATACCACCTTTGGAGTATACAAAAGTCCACACTATGCCCACCTCTAGAGTATACCAAAGTCCACACCATTCACACTTCTAGAGTATAACAAATCCTACACTATACCACATCTAGCTTATACCAAATCCTACACTATACCACATCTAGCGTATACCAAATCTTACACTATACCCACCTCTAGGTATACCAAATCGTACACTATACCACCTTTGGAGTATACAAATGTCCACACCATTCACACCTCTAGAGTATAACAAATCCTACACTATACCACATCTACCTTATACCAAATCCTACACTATACCACATCTAGCGTATACCAAATCCTACACTATGCCACCTCTGGAGTATACAAAATCCCACACTATACCACCTCTGGAGTATACAAATTTCACACTATACCACCTCTGAAGTATGCCAGATCCTACACTATAGCACCTCTGGAGTATACAAAATCCCACACTATACCACCTCTGGAGTATACCAGATCCTACACTATAGCACCTCTGGAGTATACAAAATCCCACACTATACCACCTATGGAGTATACCAGATCCTACACTACAGCCACCTCTGGAGTATACCATATCCTACACTATACCCACCTCTGGAGTATACCAGATCCTACACTATACCACCTCTAGAGTATACAAAATCCCACACTATACCACCTCTGAAGTATACCAGATCCTACACTATAGCACCTCTGGAGTATACACAATCCCACACTATACCACCTCTGGAGTATACCAGATCCTACACTACAGCCATCTCTGGAGTATACAAAATCCTACACTATAGCCACCTCTGGAGTATACCAGATCCTACACTATACCACCTCTGAAGTATACCAGATCCTACACTACAGCCACCTCTGGAGTATACCATATCCTACACTATACCCACCTCTGCAGTATACCAGATCCTACACTATACCACCTCTGGAGTATACAAAATCCCACACTATACCACCTCTGGAGTATACCAGATCCTACACTATAGCCACCTCTGGAGTATACCATATCCTACACTATAGCCACCTCTGCAGTATACAAAATCCCACACTATACCCACCTCTGGAGTATACCAGATCCTACACTATAGCCACCTCTAGAGTATACAAAATCCCACACTATACCACCTCTGAAGTATACCAGATCCTACACTATACCCGCCTCTGGAGTATACCAAATCCCACATACCACTATACCCATCCACCCTTCTCCCGTCCCTGCCAGACACCCACCAACTGATGGATCTTCATCCCCTTCGTGTCCTTGAAACCCTGGAAGTCTGTCGCCCTCTCGGTATAAATAACTATCGAACCACGACGTCAAGTTAGCGCTATTGGTGACACAGCGGTGCGTGTATACTAGTACTTGATCCGTTTATTCCACATGTTGCCTCTCGCATATTAACACGAGTGATATTAGCTTCATCACATCTACATCAATACTTTTCAGCGTCGTATTGTTATTGCCCTCGCCCGCAAACGTCAACGTGTCCCAACCTACTTCATCACAATACAGGCTCAGGATAATAATATTCAACGGGCGTCACCGATTTGTTCAATAATAGGATAATTCATGAGATTGTTTAAATAGTGTTCATACTGTATCCCTATTCCCGAAGATACATGACCATGTGTACAAGACGCGCTGTTTCCTGAAGTACCACGCTCTATGCTGGACCATGAATTTCCTATGCTGTAATCTCAATGCAATATGACAGTCGGTGTTTGCTCCTCAGATATATTTCAGAGTTAATCTTGCATTTGATTGTAGCGTTTTTACTCGTTTCATCGTTTGAGCAGAAAATAGTAATCCAGTCTTGTGCTTGTAAGATTTTCGTTCTGTGTTGTCTTCTACGAGGTGGGGCGGTCGGGTAGCCCAGTGGTTAAAGCGTTAGCTCGTCACGCCGAAGACCCGGGTTCGATTCCCGACATGGGTACAATGTGTGAAGCCCATTTCTGGTGTCCCCCGCCGTGATATTGCTGATATATTGCTAAAAGCGGCGTAAAACCTCACTCACTCACTCACTCTTCTACGAGGTCCACGCATGATATCCATTGTATGTTGGTGGTCTGATCTTTCTTCCCATATCAACTTACACACATTGATACAACTAAAATACTTTTTTTAAAACACTAACTCACTCACTCAAAATTGAATTAAAAGTTGACTGATTCCAATACGGAAATATTTCTCCTAATTAAAACAAGGTCTTACAAAACCTCCGACAATACTTACCAGATCAGCAACTCATTATCTATCAATAATCATATCTTATAGTGCTTTTAACGTCTTCAGCTGATGGTAATACGATAATGTACATGCTGCCATAATACTTGGGTCGATAGCGCCAATTGTTGGAATGTCGCCATGAGCTTCCTCCTTTCAAAATATCGATGCCATTTAAAACGCAGTCGTGTGTTTCCTTGTATGCTTCACAGAATGATCATTTGGCTTTAACCGGAATGAAACGAGCATTCGAGAATGGGCTAGCAGCTGTCGCCACGGTTTTTCAGTAATCAAAACTTGAAAACTGTCACGCATTCTGGTATATTTGAGCAGAGACCATATGCATATGTAATAGTTGTGCAATATTTGTATGGAATATGTATGTATATGACGTCTGATTTGTGTTATGCTATTTGTCATACTTTCGAACTACTTTGAAGAGGAACTATGCAACACGCCTTTGTACCTTCGGGTTTAAATTTGGGGCAACGAGGCAACGTCTTGAGGCAACGTCTCTATGTAACTTGGGAGAAGACGAACAGCTATATTGATATACATAATCACATTGAAGTTTGACAGAAAGGGAGAGGCGAACTGCTAGATTGATATACATAATCACATGGAAGTTTGAGGGAAAGGAGAAGACGAACTACTAGATTGACATAGATAATCAGATGGAAGTTTGGGAGAAAGGGTGGCGACGAACTGCTAGATTGATATACATAATAACATTGAAGTTTTAGGGAAAAAGAGAAGACGAACTACTAGATTGATATAGATAATCACATTGAAGTTTGAGAGAAAGTGAGAGACGAACTGCTAGATTGATATACAACATAACATAAAATTTTGAGACAAAGTTATTTTTTCAATGTTCTTTTCTGAAACTTACTGGGTTTGTAAACTGTCATGGGTGATGTCTATTAAGTTGGCTATTACGTGATCAACTTGTTAAAAACATATCTACCAAGCCTGCCTCTGTCGTAACAGCAAATAGACTCACTCTTTTTTTATACCACGCATTATATATTGTCTACAGGTCTCTTGAATCGTGAGTGAATTTATGTTGTTTAACGCCAGATAGCAATATTCAGGCTATATAACATCAATAAGTAATCGTGTCTGGACCAGGAAAACGAGTGAATGAAAGCATGAACAATTATCCACAACGACGCCAAATCAGCAACGTCACAACGTTTGACCATCCGATCCTCTTATCGGATCCTCTAGATGCCTCTTACTGTAATAGGTAACTGAGGACCGATGGTGTATGTTTGTTTGTTTGTTTGTTGTTTAACGCTGCACGCCGCACTCCAGCTAAATTTATATCATGGCGGTCTGTAAATAATCGTGTCTGGACCATACAATCCAGTGATTGACATCATGAGCATCGATCCATGCAATGGGGATACGATGACATGCATCAACCAAGTCAGCGAGCCTCGATGGTGCATGATCATATGTTATGTGTATGATGATACTTTCTGTTGTTCTAGACACCAGGAACTGGGTGAATAGCGTTTGATTTCCCGACTACATGAACCGCAGTGCCCCATGTGTTTATATTTGCCTAGCTGAAGGCGTGTCGTATTATATGTCACAACCTATCATGTATCAACAGTCAATAACAGACGCGCAACCAATCACCGTGTGTGTTACAATGTCGACACCTGTGTACAGTCATGTTTCCTCAGTGTAGCCTGCAGCAAGCACCATGACCGGACTACGCCAACTTAAGGTAATACTGGTACTTTATTTCACGATCTGGTGTCGGTATTAATTCAAGTTACATATCATATATATATATATATATATGTCTGAAGGACAGATTGTGTAGATTCTGCGGACACGGTCAATGTCCTCCACACTGACCGGCACGTTTCAGAACATTGTATGACATTACTGTCTGTGACCATCTGTGTGAGGACCGACGTTGGAATATTGTGATTATTTTATCATTATTATAATTAGACTGTCATAGTAAGAAAGACTTTGGCGGATCTTGGGACACATGTGTGGATCTTGAAACACGCATGTCTCATGTCCTTAAGACAAACAAGTCTCATGTGCTTAAAACACGCGTCCCCTGTACTTGACACGCTCACGTTTCCTTTCTTACCATGGACCCTCGATTGGCACCATTTTTCGTGGATACTGCAAAATGCTGAGCATTCTGGCTTTTATTTGGATTTATTATAAGAATAGAACTCTTTCATCGTCAGGTGCCTCGTACATGCGCGGGGTATGGTTTTCCTTGCTGTTCAGTCTCGCGCGTGTTTTTTTCCTTTCTCATCATATTCCATATCCACAAACAGTTTTAACATGTGTGAAGGACAAAGTTATCGCATTGAATACCCCTCAAACCCTCTCTGCTACGGTCTCGTGAAGATTCCGGGGTAGAATAGGTCTTCAGCAACCCATGCTTGCCGTAAAAGGTGACTATGCTTGTCATAAAAGGCGACTAACGGGATCGGGTGGTCAGGCTCGCTGACTTGGTTGATGCATGTCATCGTATCCCAGTTGCGTAGATCGATGCTCATGATATCAATCACTGCATTGTCTGGTCCAGACTCGTTTTTTTACTGATCATTTTCATATAGCTGGAATATTGCTGAGTGTGGCGTTAAACAACAAATAACCACACAAACAAACAAACAAAAAATCAACATCATGCTCAGTTTTCATTTCAAACATTCCTTCCTTTTCTAAATATGATAGATATGCAATGTCCTCTAACAGTTCATCTATTTCACCGGGTCGGTGGGGTAGCCTAGTTGATAAAGCGTTTGCTCGTCCCGCTGAAGGCCCTTGTTTGATTCTCCAATTTCTGGTGTCCCGCGCTGTGATATTGCTGGAATATTGCTACAAACGGCGTAAAAACAAACACACTCACTCACTCTATTTCATCATTGTCCTCATCACCTGACAAACACCTAGTAGGTTACAGTGTAAACCTCCGTTCAGCTACAGCGTTCATTTTCTCATTCACCTTGTGTCCATGACATGTAATCTTCTACAGCAGAACATGACATTAATAGTATTGACGGTAAATGTGCCAGGTGAGGACGGCCATTATCCCTTCATATCTCTTGGATGCGATTGTTCGGGCCTTGCATTTGTCGGCGATTGCCCTCAAAAATAGCATCGTCCAATGTACGACGTCATCAGGTTACAAGCGTATGACGTCATGATGGAACAATATTTGATCGCGAAATTGATTACGTCTCGTCTTTCATTTTTTTGCGATTTATTGCGTAGCAGTCAGTCATAATTAATAAAGTCCTAGCCCATGATGCCATAGTCGATGGTCGGATTGATTTAGTGTCTCCACTGCAATAAATTGAAAGAAACTTTCACGCCTAAACTGTTTAAACAATACTGGTATTGACAACCGTATTTAAAACATATTCAAGAGCTATATATTTGACTTTGAGAACATTGTGTGCGTCGCCCTATGTGAAACACGTGAAATATGTTCCCTGTGCTTTTGACACGTCCATCTTTCTCTTTAACGACTCGGGTTATAAAATACACGTCCCGGGGCATGTCTCAATTCATACTAGACCAACTCGAACACATTTATCAATCTCATAAAATTTATAGGTCCTTGTTGATGGGCCTATATGAGCAAACACAGCCCTGATCAGGTAAAGAGTAACTGACTGAATAAATCGTACATTTACCCATTCATGAAAAGGATTACTAGTAACTATTAGTCTTGAGGTTAGTACTGTGAAAAAACATCTACATTCTTTAGCCTTCGGTACGGCTTTCGTGTGTTCGAAACCCGCTGGCGACACACGTTTTTCGCGATATTCTTCTTCGTCAAGGTAAATTATAGAGGGAAATGGAATTTCTGGCATAAACAATTCATTACGTTGGTGCACGGAGCCATGGTTAAAGGTTAAAGGTAGATTCAGTGGCATCCAAGGCGATAGGGTATGTCCGGACTCCACCACAGTTCTATACGTATGTGTGGGGATTGTGTCAAGTAGAGGTCAGTGAAATGGTCTGTCAATGGGTACAAAGGTTCAAGAAAGTCCCTGCTCCACGTGTCACCTTTGCAGCTGTTGCACTGTGTTCTGTGGAGAGCTATGTTGTCAAAACTGGCCAACATCTAGTCAATAAGACACTGATATCATTGATATTTCGTATCCTAATCAGTGAATGCATTAGTGATCATCGACAGCTCTTGTTAGTAGTATTTGCTGGAGAAATTCATGATTGGTTGGTTTGGTTTGGTTGTTGTTTAACGCCGCTCTCAGCAAAATTCCAGCATTACGACGGCGGTCTGTAAATAATCAAGTCTGGAACAGACAATCCAGTGATTGATATCATGAGCATCGATCCACCCATCTGAGATCGATGACATGCATCAACCAAGTCAGCGAGCCTGACCACCCGATCCCGTTAGTCGCCTTTTACGACAAGCATGGGTTGCTGAAGACCTATTATACCCCGTAATCTTCACGGGTCGCAGAAATTCATGAATTAATGTGGTATATATTACAATTAATATATCAAACAGTCTCGAATATTGTTGTTTACCTGACTTGAACAGTGGACGAATATTTCATTTGAAACTTTAGAAGTGTTGAAGCTGATGTGCATGTAACTGTGGCAATAAATTATATTATTAAGATGATCTATATGTATTTGATTATTTGTTATTACATCTGTCCGCGCGTGTGCGTGTGCCTGTGTGTTTGTCATCATCGATCCAATATTATGAAGTGTGTCGTGTCTCCATAAATTTGCTTTAAAACTCCTTGGCCCATTCCCTACAATTTCTTCTTTGGGGGGACCGCCTCCGTGGTCTTGTGGTAGAGCGTCCGCCCGGAGAGCGGAAGGTCCAGGGTTCGATCCCGGGCCGCGTCATACAAAAAGACGTTAAAAGATTGTACTTGTTGTTACCCTGTCTGGCGCTCGGCATTAAGGGGCTAAAACAAGGACTGGTCGGCTCGGAGTCAGTATACTGTGTCTGAGTGGGGTATTCATGTTAAACTGCGGCATGGTATCTCAGTGAGCTAGCACTATAAATCGGCATCAGTCCGGACTAGTACAAGCAGCCACACAAACACATACACGTGCATGCACGTCGCTATATAAGTGCAATAATCTTGGACGCGACGTTAAACCCAATTTCACCTCACCTCACCTCTTCTTTGGGACGTTGTGTTATTTTGGGACAAAAGAAAAGAATGAACACGACTATTTATGACAGTTGCTGGCCAGTAGGAGAGGCACACCTAACTTGTTGCATGCTTGTGAGCGTGTTTAGAGTAAGACACTGATATCAGACGTACAGTGAAAGAGTGTCACCTTATTCATGGAAATTTGTTTAGTTCAGTTTAGTGAAGCTTTGAACAATATTTCACTTACATCACCTCATGTCAGCTGACGACAACAGGGAGATGCAGGGCGTCGTGGTACCTTTAAAATGTAAGGTGCTGACAGAAGACAGAAGAAAAGTTCTAACACAAATATCAAATTGGTTTTCATCTGGATTCATTAGGTTTGTTAGTTGCGAGTAATGAGTTAGGTTTGTTAGTTGTGAGTAATGACTTAGGTTTGTTAGTTGTGAGTAATGAGTTAGGTGTGTTAGTTGCGAGTAATGAGTTAGGTTTGTTAGATGTGAGTAATGAGTTAGGTTTGTTAGTTGTGAGTAATGAGTTGAGTTTGTTAGTTGTGAGTAATGAGTTAGGTGTGTTAGTTGCGAGTAATGAGTTAGGTTTGTTAGTTGCGAGTAATGAGTTAGGTTTGTTAGTTGTGAGTAATGGGTTAGGTGTGTTAGTTGCGAGTAATGAGTTAGGTTTGTTAGTTGTGAGTAATGAGTTAGGTTTGTTAGTTGTGAGTAATGAGTTAGGTTTGTTAGTTGTGAGTAATGAGTTAGGTGTGTTAGTTGCGAGTAATGAGTTAGGTTTGTTAGTTGTGAGTAATGAGTTAGGTGTGTCAGTTGCGAGTAATGAGTTAGGTTTGTTAGTTGTGAGTAATGAGTTAGGTGTGTTAGTTGCGAGTAATGAGTTAGGTTTGTTAGTTGCGAGTAATGAGTTAGGTTTGTTAGTTGCGAGTAATGAGTTAGGTTTGTTAGTTGCGAGTAATGAGTTAGGTTTGTTAGTTGTGAGTAATGAGTTAGGTTTGTTAGTTGTGAGTACTGAGTTAGGTTTCTTAGTTGTGAGTAATGAGTTAGGTTTGTTAGGTGCGAGTAATGGGTTAGGTGTGTTAGTTGCGAGTAATGAGTTAGGTTTGTTAGTTGTGAGTAATGAGTTAGGTGTGTTAGTTGCGAGTAATGAGTTTGGTTTGTTAGCTGTGAGTAATGAGTTAGGTTTGTTAGTTGCGAGTAATGAGTTAGGTGTGTTGTGTGCGAGTAATGAGTTAGGTTTGTTAGTTGTGAATAATTCTGTGCAAAAATACCTGGCAAGTCTCTTGGGGTGTTATGTGAAAATGACGGTTACATATGTTCGGGAAATGCTACAGAAAGTCTTTTGTCTTCTCAAGCAATTATAGGATGATTAGGCCCTTGCAAAACAGACACGACGAATATTGATTAATATGCACTGGATAATCAAGGCAAGGAAACTATCGACAATAATACTTCTGTATTTCAGACATCGCTCGTAACCCCACAGCCACGGCGAATACCAATGACCCGCCTTATCCTGGTCATCATGATATGCTTACTGGGGAGTTATATATTTGGAACATTTTACATAAATTATGTCGTGGACAAATATTATA